TCTCTGGTAAGCAGGAGATCCTAGATGACCGTAACAGTTATGTCTGGCCTTTAAATCTGAGACAGTCCCGAAGAAATGATTCACCTGCTTCAAATATACATCCAGTGAGTGAGAAAGTAACCTTTCCAACTGAACTTAGTTTTTATGATACCCTGTGTTTACTTTAGAGGTAAAAATTTATTGTCTGGTCTTGCACTAGTAAAATATTTGGAAGGCCTTGAGAGCACTGTAACAACAAACAGAGCATTCACAATTCCCCTGATGGGCTGATTTCACTAATAGCACACATTTGGTGAAAATAACCTCTGATGTACCAGCGAGATTCCAGATGACAACATTACTGCACCTGCAGGTTTTAATTGGTGCAAAAAAGGGGAGAATATGAGGTACCAATTACTCTCTTGAAGCCCGAGAATCAAGGATGGTTTTGGCCGAGAGGCTTGTAATTCCAACATAAAATTGCGCGCAGCATGGAATAAACAGGGCCTGCATTATTTATCATGTATTAAACAATTTTTGACTTGTAAAACTCTGAGAAGGCTGAATGAGAGAGGTGAATCTTTAACACTGGACCTACTGCAATGTTAATTGTAGTATGTCTGTGTTGCAGATTTAAGGATGTACAAGCACTATTGAAACATTGTAATTAAATACCAGCTCCCAATCCAGAGAGTAATCTAAATATGGCAATAATTGGGTAGTTAAAAAATATGCATTGATGAGAGGATGATTATTACATGCTGGGGAATTTAACTGGTAGTTCTAATCTTCTAAAATGAGCTGCACAAAATTCAGCTAATCTTTAACTTAAATTCCCCAGCAAGAGAAGAGCAGTCAGTTGGTGGGTTGGAGCCAAATGCAGATGACATTTCTTGCTTTATTCTAATAAATAGCTTTTCAAAAAAGCTGTGAATGACATTGCAGAGACTCCTAAGAACTTAATAGTTTCAGAATGTCACTCAGAGATATTGAGAGTATCTGGTAATCTTGTTGAGGGAGAAAAGACACTGATAAGTCCTTTTTGTCAACATTTGTCTTAAATGCAATGAATGCCAAGATTTTCTGTTGATGGCAGTGAGGTGAGACTTTTCAACAAGAACTCCAGCTCCTCACATAGAGGAAGTTTGTATGACACTTCAAAATGGAGGGAACAGCAAGGACCTCTGGTATTTTTAGATGAACGGAAGCAAACTGTACACTGTGCCTATCACCGTTTCCTACTTGCTTGCTGTGGTGGGAAGTGGCCAGGCTGGATGTGAGCAGTTCATCAGTCTGTGGCTGGCTTTGGTAAAATGTTACTAAAAGTCTTTTTTACCAGTTCTTCAGGCCATGTTTCACGCTTAGGAGCGTAGCACATGGCTCTTACTGTATGATGTAAACAAGAGCCTGTTAGTGAAAGGAAAATTTAAGAAAACAAAATGGGAGGGGGCGAAGTAGCCCACATTTAATGCATGAGCTGTAGTGTGTCTGTGCTTTACCATACACTCATTATCTTCCTTCCTGCAGCCTGCTGTACTGTATGTGTTCCTCTCTGCTCTCTGGTTGCGAGGGCCGCACTGAGCCAGTGTGGATAAAAATCACTCCCAGTGTTTCTTTTCAGCAGTGGTGATGTTGTCTGGGATTAAAGTGGGGGGAGGCAGATAGGACCTCTGACATTTCTATGAAAGAACTGCAGGTACCAAATGCTCCTGTGGACTGAATGCTGGATTTCCTCAAAGGGGGCATTCAGCTTGCTAGCAAGCCAGGAGTGTCACTGCTTTCAGGCTGTAGAAACAAGAAGGTTCTGGGCTGGCTGAATGTGCATTGGGCAGGCTTCTGCCTTCAGCCTTGCCCTCTGCAGCTCCAGAAAAATTCAAGCATAGCACCTGAATCTTCAAAACCGAGACAAAGTGGAACTGCATATAAAAGGTACCTATGTGGTGGTGGTGGTCATCCTTCCTGCATCACAGCAGGGGTAGGAGATCCGGTATCTTGCCTAGGCAAACTGTTCAGCCTGAGCAACTTCAGGGACAAGTTTTAACAGTGTTACTTGTGAAGACTGTGAAATTTACCATCAGTGCTGTAGCTGACTTAAAAGCAGTGAGAGTTGCCTTTGCTTTTCATTCAGAGCCCTAAACTGGCCACCAAGTGGGGTTCCTAAGGTGTCACAGGTACCTCCATCTTGCAACTGTGAAGCACCTTGTGTGTGAGGTTAAGTATCAAGCTGCTTAGGTCTTTCAGGAGTAAAAGTATGGCTTAAAGCCTCTGTGTGTCTGTAGGTGCTGGTGCTGAGAATAGCATTCCTATAGACTCAGGTGCCTTTTGGTGCTATGCAGAGCTGTTCTGAACAGCTTGCCTGTTGAAATTAGGCCTTGTGTAAAGCTTCAGATTTGTTAGCTTTGTGTGCATCAGAGCCTTAAGTGAGTCTTCGGTCATGTACAGAGTAATCAGGTCGGTCTATCTCTACCTAATGCAGACATGGGGGGCAGTCTAAGATGTGTTTAACCCATACAACTGTATACCTAGTTCCAGGTTTTATTTCTAACCATCATGTCTGATTATTCTATAGGATTGGCCCATATTTAAAAACACTGCATAAGCAGTAGTCTTATTAATAACAACAGACCATCCCCAAAATTATGAAGAAATGTAATGTTGGGAGAGCTTGTGCTGTCATCTTGGATTTATTTTTTTGTCCTTGTTACTGTTGTTAATGGTCACTTTTTCAACCCACTATACTACAGTAACAACTTTAAGGCAAAATAAACTGTTAAGACATGGCCATGAAAAGGAACTGATTTTTGAATCTTACCTTGACTCCTGCTCTGCACTGCTTGTATGCTGTGCCTCAACAAAGGATTCGAGTTAGTTAAGACATGCCTTTTCTGGCAGCCACCCTGTGCAGCAGGAGGCTGGGCTTCACAGCACACTGCTGTCCCCAAGGAGTTTTGCTCCAGGGGCCTGTGGCTTGAACCAAGTCAGGAACTGTGAGGCAGCTGCATTATCTTAGGGTGCAGTACCCAGAGGCCATGGAGGTGGTGGAGTCTCTTAGAGAAGATGTGGTGCTGGGGGAAGGTGGTGTTGTTGGACCTCAG